GTTAATATTAGTAGTGCCAATAATAATAATGGTAAAAGTACTATCAGTGTTAAGAGCAAAAGTTATATTTAATTACACAGAAATTAAATTCACTACTAGGTATATAAATAGATTTAAATTATGTTACAATAAACAGTAATTAAGAATAAAAAAGTTGATACATTATGTAAATCCGTCTTTAAATTCTGTATCATGACTGGGCTCCAAGAATAAAGGAGAGAGAAAATGGTTTGGCTCAGAATTTTATAACGCACACCGAAACACCACCCACATTGACACCCCTGACCCTCCCCCTGGATAGTTATCTGGCCAATCCATAAATTTCATGGAGTCTGCTTTGACCATCGATATCCTCCAGCAGATGGCATCATCACACGGCGGGCAAATTCCTTGACCCAGTTCAATGGTAGGATGGTAGGGCGCAGCTTGTCCTTTGATCACTCAGTGATGGTGGACACCTCATCTTCGGGGGGGGGGGGGGGGGGGGGGATACTCTTACTAAAAATCTGCCCCTGTAAACCACAGCAGGAGCCAATGTGTGAACATTCTCCCAGGAGCTGAATCCTTATTTGCAACCTCCTGTTATAGACACCCTGCTGTTTTAATCCTGTTCCAATAGTTTTTAAGATGGAATCCTGCAGTGACCAGATGGCTTATTGATAACCAGACAGGGGAGCTGTCCAGAAATGTCTGATATAAAAACATGATGATATGTTGTACAGTCCAATATATAATATATATATATATATATATATATATATATATATATATATATATATAATAATCTATTATTATTGTATATTATTCATTATTCTCCATAGCCTTGAGGAGACTGGCAGGTTTGTGGACATTGTACATGTGTCACCTAGGTTTCTCACCTACAACACATGAACAATGCAATGGTCGCAAGTGTGTTTTTTTTTCTCTCTGCAAGAATATACATTTTTATATAGATATACAGGTCTGAGCAGAGGGGGGAAGGTATGTAAGGCACTGACATGCACATTCGTAAACAGTGTAGATGTGTCACCTAGATTTCTCACCTACACAAGGTTTCTGTCTGATTTATAGATAACAAACATTTTGTTTTCTCAGATCCTAATAAATCATGTCATGGGTCCTAGAGCCTGGAGGCTTTGTAGAGCATTGGGTATGGAATAAATCTTCCACTCCTAGGTCCATATCTCACCTGGTATTCAGACCTCATTAATTAGTCTCAGCTTTAAACAATGTTTAGGGCTCTATCTCACACTCTCTATTTTGGGAGTCTGCTGCTGGGTGAAAAGGCTGAGTACTGACACAAGACTAAAAAAGTATACGTGCTGCCTGTTTGTTTTGGGAAACCCATTAGGGGGCACCCTATTGGTATTGGCCTAGGTCAGGGGTTGACCTGAGCTTAGTGGCTTGAACAGCTGATGTGTTTGTTTTGTGCTATGTAGTTGCTGAACAAAGCCCTCCTGCAAAGCATTCACCCAACAAGTAAATGCTGATTGACCGTCATGGGTTCACTGTATGAATGTATACGGTATGCTCCTTCCCACAGGTCTGAGCAGAAGGGGAAGGTATATAAGGCACTGGCAGACAGGATTGTGAATGGTGTAAAATGTGACACCTAGATTTCTGACCTACACAGGGTTTGTGTCTGATATATAAATAACAAATGCTATGTTTTCTTAGATCTTAATAAATCATGTTATGGATCCAGGAGTCAGGAGGCTTTGTAGAGCTTTGGGTGGGATAAAGCCTCAATTTCTAGGTCCACATCTTACCTGGTAGTCAGATCTCATTTATTAGATCACCCATCCACAAGTCCTTATTCTGATGCTGAGGCCTCTCTCACTATCTCAGGTTTGGGAGCCTGCTGCTGGGTGAAAAGGCTAAGTGTTGACACAAGACTAAAAAGGTATATATATGCTGCAAGTTTGTTCTGGTGAACCCATTAGGCAGCATCCTATTAGTCAAGGATTGACTTGAGTTTAGTTAGTGGCTTGAGCAGCTGATTTGTTTGTTTTTATGTTGTGGACTTGCTGAACAAAGCCCTCCTGCAAAGCATTCACCCAACAAGTGAACGCTGATGGACTGTTATGTGTCCACTATATGTGGGCAAAATGTTCTCCTTTCCACAGGTAAGAGCAGAGGGGGAAGGTATATAAGGCACTGGAAGGTAGGATTGCAAACAGTGAAGTGGTGTCACCTAGATTTCTCACCCACATAGGGATGGTGTCTGATATATACAGGGCTTTTTTTCTCTCAGAAAATAGCTGTAGGAACTCTCTCTTTCCGAGCCACCACTTGTCTCTCTGCTCCCTACTCAACTTCAAGAACTGTTCCTTGGTTTCTCACAGCCCCTTTGGAGAATACAGAACCAAGTATCAATTTGTATGCAATTTATTAATGATAACAAGAAAATCAGTAAAATATGTCCCCTGAAGCCAACAATGGACTCCCCCAGCAACAATAGACCCATCCCTTAACCTCCCTGGCGCTATGATTATTTCAGATTTTTGGTGCTGAAAGCGGTACATTATTTTGCATGGAAATATGTAGTTTTTTTATTGTAGGCTGTAATTTGTAGGAATAACTCACTGAAATCGGTCCGAACAAGAGTCTATAAACATCCCGAGGTATGATAAAATTTGAAACACAAAATCATAAATTATAATTTAATAAATAATCATAAAAAATAATAATATAATAATAATAAATGTAATTCAATAATATAATCAAACCAAAAACACTGAAATGTGAAATAGAGCGCCAAGTTTGCACATCACTGAGGAAAGTCGCAAAATCGTTTTCAGTGTCTGATGACGAATTTCCCCCACGAATCATTATCACTCAATTCTGCAAGTGGTTCTGATTTACTATCGCTGTCCTCTAGCCGGTCTAAAACCACTTTTGACCTAAAGGGACGCTTTTTGGACGCCATGGACGTTTCTCAGTTTCCAGGCAGAAAGAACAGACAAAATGCAGGCAGGGCGCCGGACAAAGCACTCGGGACAAAATGTATGTGAAATGGTTTGACACAGGAATGTTTTACAATGTAAAATTTGTTTGGAAAAAAATTATTTAATTTTTTAAAATTTTCAAATTTCCCGCCGCCAGCGGCGCCTGTACGTCCCGACGTCACAGGGACCGGAACACGCTGCAGGGGACACGTCGCGGGGAGCGCAGGACAAGGTAAGCTCTGCAGGGATCCCTATGCAGCACCGCATGGTAAGCCCGAGTGTAGCTCGGGGTTACTGCTTTTGGTACTGAAATTTTACCCCGAGCTACACTCGGGAATACTGCCAGGGAGGTTAACATAAGATCCCTCCCAGCAACAAATGACCCCCCAGCAACATAAAACCCACCCTGTGCAACAATAGACCTCCCTCAGCAAAAATAGGCCCCCCCCAAAAAAATATATTCCCCTCCAGTGACAATAGATCCTCCAGCAGCTAGCATCAATGGACCCTGCAGCACACCCCTGCACCTCTTGTCATTACATACATTCAGAGTTGGAGGTGCCGGAACTGTGTTCCCCCACGTTCCCCCAGGTTCCCCCAGGTTCACGCTGAAAAAAAGCCCTGGATATATAGCTAACAAACTTTTTGTTCTCAGATCTTAAAACAGAGCTCCAGTCAAAATCTAAAAAAATAAAAGTCAGCACCTACAAAAACTATAGCTGCTGACTTTTAAAAAACAGTCACTCACCTGTCCCTCGATCCAGCAGTGTCCTCCTCAAAGCTAGTTTCACCGGCTATCTTCTCTTCCTGGCAAGGGCATCTTTAGTGTGGGCACCCAGCTTTGGCAGCTTGCGGATGTGTGAGCAGTGCTATGCCTTATGAATGGTTCTCTGGGACCTGTCACATGTCCAAGAAGCCTACGGGTAGGGAGGGACAGGGAGGACAACCTCCACTTTTGACTACCTAGTCGGTTTGCAGCGGAAATGGGAATGGGTACCAGTCAAAATCCCACGTACCCGCTCCCTCCCCCCACCCCAAAGGTGCCAATCCTTAACGGGGAATTGGGGATGAGGCCTTAAAGTGGAACTTCCCATTTTTTGTGGAGCTCTACTTTAAATAATCAAGTCATGGGTCCTGGAGCCTGGAAACTTTTGTAGAGTTTTGGGGTGGGACAAATCCTCCATTCCTAGGTCCGCATCTTTCCTGGTAGTCCGACCTCAATAATTAATCTCAGCTATTTTGGGCTTTAATTCTGATGCTCAGGCCTCTCTCTCACTTTCTCTGCTTTGGGACCCTGCTGCTGGGTGAAAAGGCTTAGCGCTGACAAAAGACTAAAAATGTACTGTATTTTACTATGTAAAAGTAGCACTGACATCATCACCATGCTGTACATAGCCTGTGCCGGGAGAAGAGCTGTGGGAGGGGCCCAGCAGGCTCCACCCACTACAGGTTGCCTGCAGAAACTACAGGAGGGGCGGAGACAGGGGCGGACTGATAACTCATGGGGCCCCCGGCAATAGGAAACCATGGGGCCCCTGTGTCCTCGCCCACACTCTTGAACCACATCCAAAAAAAGCCTATGAAAGGTACTAGGGGCATCTCATGGGGCCTTCTACTGACCCCCGGCCCTCGGGCAGTGCCAGAGTGTCTAAATGGTCAGTCCGCCCCTGGGCGGAGACAAGACCAGTCACTCTGCACAAGGAGAGAGAGCAGCAGTGAGAGGTCTGTATTACAGGAAGTCTCACACTGAATGACTGCACAGATCTGGAGGAAATACACAAAGCACACCAAGATTCCAAGAAGAATACACATGACAAATGATTTAGATATATTGCTTATTACAGAGATCACCTTTAAAGTGGATGTAAACCCTTCCATATACCCAGTGAAGTGACTGCCCTCAGGTGATACACAGAAATGAAACAAATCCTCCTACATGAGTTGTACCTATTTATCTGCACTTCTTCTCTACACATTTGTTTAAAAATTATACAGCTTGTCTGAGCTTTCAGAAATCAGGGGGCAGGAAAGCTGCAGTTAAAGTGTTACTAACCCCAGGAGCCTGCATTCACTATATCAACTCTCCCCAGACCCTGCATTCACTATATCAACTCTCCCCGAACCCTGCATTCACTGTATCAACTCTCCCCAGACCCTGCATTCACTATATCAACTCTCCCCGACCCTGCATTCACTATATCTGGTCTCTCCGGACCTCGCATTCACTATATCCAGTCTCCCCGCGACCCCGCATTCACTATATCCGCTCTCCCCGGACCCCGCATTCACTATATCCGCTCTCCCGGACCCCGCATTTACTATATCTGGTCTCCCCGGACCCCCTGCATTCACTATATCTGGTCTCCCGGACCCTGCATTCACTATATCAACTCTCCCCGGACCCTGCATTCACTATATCCTAGCTCTCCCCAGACCCCGAGCATTCACTATATCCGCTCTCCCCGGACCGTGCATTCACTATAACCGCTCTCCCCGGACCGTGCATTCACTATATCCGCTCTCCCCGGACCCCGCATTCACTATATCCGCTCTCCCCGGACCCTGCATTTACTATATCTGGTCTCCCCGGACCCCGCATTCACTATATCTGGTCTCCCCGGACCCTGCATTCACTATATCAACTCTCCCCGGACCCTGCATTCACTATATCTGGTCTCTCCACCCCCGCATTCACTATATCCGCTCTTCCCCAGACCCCGCATTTGATACTACCAACACAAATCCGCTCTCCCCGGACCTTGCATTCACTATATCCGGTCTCCCCGGACCCTGCATTCACTATAATCTGGTCTCCCCGGACCCTGCATGGGTTTCAAAAGTTTTTTACAAATAATGTCACTATATCCGGTCTCCCCGGACCCTGCATTCACTATAATCCGCCCCCTTCCCCGGACCCCGCATTCACTATATCCTCTCTCCCCGGAAGGAATGCATTCACTATATCTAGGTCTCCCCGGACCCCGCATTCACTATATCCGGTCTCTCCAGACCCTGCATTCACTATATCCAGTCTCCCCGGGGGACCCTGCATTCACTATATCTGGTCTCCCCGGACCCTGCATCTGGTTGGCTATATCTGGTCTCCCCGGACCCTGCATTCACTATATCTGTTCTCCACACAGTATACAGAACATGAAAATACAATTATTTTAGTAAATATAAACTTCCCAAATACCTTTTCTCACCAGCAGTTTTGTGACTTCCATCAGTGCCCAGCAGAGCACTGGCTAAAGCCAGTAGGAGGAGTTTTCATTCTTCCTTGACTGTCCTATGGGCTGAAAAACCCCTGACCCTCTGTCTGGACAGCATTGATTGGCCCTGTGCTGATCACATGCACTCTCCTAAGGAAAAAAAAACAACTCTCTAGCAATACCAACAAACTTAGCATGCGCAGATTGCCCCCAAGGTTCTGTTCTATCAGCAGATGGATTGGGGACAAAAGAAGTGGTGGTGATCAGAGAAGAAAGGATCATATAGCCTTTTTACACAATGCAGAGGATTAACCCCTTACAGTGCCTTGAAAAAGTATTCATACCCTTTGAAATTTCCATATTTTGTCATGTTGCAACCAAAAAACGTCAATGTATTTTTTTGGGATTTGATGTGATAGACCAACACAAAGTGGCACATAATTCTGAAGTGGAAGGAAAATGATAAATGGTTTTCAAAATTTTTTACAAATAAATCTGAGAAAAGTGTGAACGGGCAATTCATTCACATTGAAAGGGGCTATCAACAAGTGCCACACATATTTTAACCACTTGTCTAACTACTTGCCACTTATACCCCCTTCCTGCCCAGGCCAATTTTCAGCTTTCAACGCTGTCGCATTTTGAATGACAATTGTACGGTTATGCAACACTGTACCCAAATAAAATTTTTATCAATTTTTTCACACAAATAGAGCTTTCTTTTGGTGGTATTTAATCACTGCTGGGTGTTTTATTTTTTGCGCTATAAACAAAAAAAAAAAGAGCAACAAAGTTGAAAAAAAAAATGTTTTTCTTTGTTTCTATTATAAAATTTTGCAAACGGGTAATTTTTTCCCTTCACTGATGTGCGTTGATAGGCAGCACTGATGGGCACTGATGGGCAGCACTGATGGGCACTGATAGGCAGCACTGATGGGCACTGATAGGTGGCACTGATTAGCCTTTTACCACATCACGTGATCAGCTGTGTTCGAAGGACACAGCGATCACAGAGATCACCGAGTGCGCACCCCCAGAAATGTGCGGGAGGGTCATATGACACCCGCCCAGGACTGGACAACCGCATAGCCGTCATTCGGCTATAGCATGGTTGGCAAGTGGTTAATGGGCATGTATAATTTTTTTCACCTGTGACCCATTGGGGAGATTTCCCTTCACTTCTTGTTCTGTATACACAACAGGAGGCAAAATCTTCATAGTGTGGGAAGTGCCCTATAGACAGTTCCCTCTTAATGTCCCATTCACACTGTTGCATTGCAGTGTAGTGTCCCTCTAAATGCTGGGGGAAGCTTGTTAGTTTTTTTTTTTTCTAGTTAGAAAGGCTGAGTAGCAGCCTGGGCAATAGTCAACTGGATCAAATCTAGGCCAGGACTGAGAGGCCCGGCAGATCAGTTCCTTGATACCTCCTCCTGCTCTAGATTCTTGGAGAAGGTTCTAGAAGCAGTGGGTGAGGGTGAGGAGGGGCTGGTCTGCATACTCAATCCCAAAGCAGGTTGCTTGGCAGGGAAGCAGAGCAGCCCTTAAGTATGACTCAGCCTGCTCAGCAGCAGGAGAGTTTCAGGTGGGAGATGTGAGGAAGGCTGATATGCAGGAGCCTAGGAGGGGGCCCAGTGGGAAAGGGCCTACCTACAGTCAGGAAGCTGGGAAGGATGATTGCTGAGCCTCACCAGCCCCCAGAGCAAGGACCACCTTAAGAGCCAGGAAAGGAGCCAGCCCAGCAGAAGGCCTGAAGGCATCCACCTACCTACACCAGCTCACATGGGAAAGACTGAGCAAGTAATCCTACACCCTATGGGCCAGTTAAAGCGGAGCTCCACCCAAAAGGGGAAGTTCCAATTTTATGCATTGTCCCCCGCTCCCCGTTAAGGATTGGCACTTTTGGGGAGTATGGGGGGATAGTAGGTACCTGAATTTGACAGTTTCCGCTGCGATCAGAAGAGGAAGTTGTCCTCCCCCCTCTCCCCATAGTCTTCTGGGACACGTGACAGGTCCCAGAAGACTACAGGACTAAAGCGCAGCGTTACTCGTGCATGCACAGTGAAGCCACAAGCTGTCACAGCCGGGTGCCCACACTAAAGATGCCGGCGCAGGGGAGAGAAGACGGCCGGTGGAACCAGCCATGGTGAGGGTACCACTGCATAGCAGAGCACTACAAAGCACTATGTTTCCCTAGTAAAACACACATAGCACACTTAGTAAAACAGCACACAGTTAACCTTTTGATCGCCCCAGATGTTAACACCTTCTTGCCCAGTGTACAGTGTCAGTGCTTTTTATTAGCACTGATCACTGTATTGGTGTCACTGGGGATGTCAGTGACACCAAGTCAGTTCCCTCCAGTGCCAGAATGCCCACCGCAGTCCTGCTATAAGTCGCTGATCACCTCCATTACTAGTATACAAAAATGAAAACTAAAAATTCCAGTATATATACCATAATAAATAATAACACGTATATATTATGAATCCCTAATGAGTGTATGCATATCTCTCACTAGGGATTCACAATATACCCGTGTTATTATTTATTATTTAGATTTGTGTCCCAATATTGGGAATCACGGGTCACAATTTTGTGGTTGTATCCCAGAAAAGGGAGCGGGTCTGTATTTTTGTGTATTTATCACTTTTTTATAGGTCACTGGTCTTGGTCCAATTATAGAACCTCGTGTTTGTTTATTCACTTTTATTCACCATTATATGGAATATATGTAGTTTGTATTTATTTATGTAATGCTACACCATTTCCTTTTAGTTTATACATTTATTTTCACCTACAGGTATAGGATTTAGGTGTCAGCTGCTTTGTGTGGTATTTTAGATACATATCGAGCGCAGGGGGACTTCTTCCATAAGTATGTCCTATTATTGATAGGCGGCGCACATGTCGTGGACCAGTCCAGAGACCGTTAATCAAGATGGCGGACAACAGTGTTAGTGCGTGCATGGAACAACATGTGGTGATGATTTTTTTTTGTGAACGAAGGTGTAAAACCCACGAATAGCTACAAAAGACTTCAAACACGGTACGGTGACGAGACGCTCAGCCGCCGCAGAACGACATTTGAGTGGTGTAAACTTGTCAAAGGTTGCCGTACGTCCGTCAGTCACCCCAGCCGGGGTGATTCCAAGCCCATAGCAGTCATTCCTGTGAACATTCACTCCAGAATCAAAATGAACATCAAAGCTGTGGAAGCATGAGGACTCACCGCCACCAAAACATTTCAAACAATTGCATCTGCAGATAAAGTGATGGCAAGTGTTTTCTGGGACAAACATTTTTCATGTGAATTTTCTACCCCATGGTGCCACTATCAACAGTGAATATTACTGTCATGTTCTGAGCAGGGGCGGACTGACAACTCATGGGGCCCCCAGGCAATAGGGGATCATGGGGCCCTTGTGTCCTTGCCCAAACTCAAAAAAGCCTATGAAAAAGGTACCAGGGGAATCTCATGGGGCCCCCTACTGACCCCGGGCTCTCGGGCAGTGCCCAAGTTTCCAAATGGTCAGTCCACCCCTGGTCTGTGGACTACCATCAGTGACAGATTGTTATAACCACGATGCCCCACAGAGCGACACAGGAACTAATTTCTGCCTGTGGCCATCAAAATGTATAATACTTCATAAAATTCTTCTCTGTGAGTGCTGTATGTGAGCCCTGATAATCAGTGCCGCCCCATCAGCGCAGCAAATCAGTGCCCATCAGTGCTGAATATCGGTACAGACTCATCAGTCTCAAAAAATATCCAGCAGTGCAGCATATCAGTGTCTATGAATGCAGCATATCAGTGCTCATCAATGCAGCTTGTCAGTGCCCAGGGGCGGACTGACAACTCATGGGGCCCCCGGGCAATAGGGGATCATGGGGCCCCTGTGTCCCCACCCACACCCAAAAAAGCCTATGAAAAAGCCAATGAAAGGTACCAGGGGCATCTCATGGGGCCCCCTACTGACCCTAGGCCCTCGGGCAGTGCCCGAGTGTTCGAATGGTCAGTCTGCCCCTGTCAGTGCCCATTAGTGCCACCTATCAGTGCCCACCAGTGCCACCTTAACAACTCCATCAGTGCAACTTCATCAGTGCCTCTTCATCAGTGCCCATCAGTGCAGCTTATCAGTGCCCATCAGTGCCACATCATCAGTGGCCGTAAGTGCAGCCTCATTAGTGCAGCCCCATCAGTTCTTGAACAACTCCTCCCACCCACTCCACAGTACACTGCTCAGTCTGTGACAGGGGTGGACTGACAACTCATGGGGCCCCCAGGCAATAGGGGATCATGGGGCCCCTGTGTCCTTGCCCAAACTCAAAAAAGCCTATGAAAAAGGTACCAGGGGCATCTCATGGGGCCCCCTACTGACCCTGTGCCCTCGGGCAGCGCCTGAGTTTCCAAATGGTCAATCCGCCCCTGGTTCTGAGTGATGTGCATACGTGTCTACAGAAAAAAATCGGC